ATTGGCCATTCACTTAGATAACCTGTCTCAATATTTCTAATACTTTTAAGAAATTATAAGCAAGTCATTTATCTGAAAAAATGAGTTTTGTTTCTAGTTTCTAGTTCATATTTGTTACAGAAGATATTAACGTCATTCAATATATATCATATCATGTCATCTTTTTCTCACTTTGAGTAAGAGAATACCATGAATTTTAGCTCATGGATTATTGGTTGGCTGTTCTCATCACTGATATAAAATATGTGATACTATTTTGTGCTGAGTCCTTGACACAGTCCCAGGGACCTAGACCTGATTGAGGGCAGCAAGGTCATGAAGAAAGACAGACAGATGGACACACACAAAAAAGGAAAACTGGGATTCGGTACTCTAAGCACTTGGGTGGAGAAACCTCAGTCCCTCAGAAAGTCAGTGTTTAGTGTATAGAGTTTAACAGTGAAGTGAGTTATTGCATACATCTGAATGAGGAGGCAGGGTTATTACATACAGATAAACAAGGGGGAAGGGTTTATGGGGCACAGCTGGATCAAGGAGACAAGTTTAGCTAATCTTAGTAGGAGTCCTTTTTGTAGAGAAGCAGTCTTCAGGCAGTGAATAAGTGAATATCTAGGGGGAGAAAAAACAATAGACACTTTCTTCACACACTATTTACATCTACACTTGGGCCAAAAGTGAAGGCTTTCCATTTCCCTCTGGATCTGAGGCTACAATCATTGCCATGCCTGTGCCTATTTCATCTGCACACGTAAAACTCAGACAGTTAGTACAGTGTCTATAATTTCCACTCTTATGGAGAAGAAACTAGTGGCAGAGATTGGAGAGTCCACGGAAGGTTATGGATCAAATATCCTGATACCACATGGCAGAAAACCATCCAAGAGACCTCATCTCAAGCCGGAAGGCAAGGCCCAACACCCGATGCTGCCCTTTGACCGCCACGTGGCGCACAGGTACTCTAGCTCCACATGAATTCATACACACCCAAAGAGAGAGAGAAAGAAACTGGGAAGGGAAGAGGGGAAGAGAGAGATGGATTGCATTGATCTGATTATAAAAAGTACAAAATCCAAGAAACTCAGCAAACTCCAAGCAAAAGAAATTTGAAGAAAACTTAGGGAAATCTGTAAATCAATGAAGCTGTGTGGTGTACTTTATATAAAGGAATGAAGATAAGGATGATACTAGATCCTTGGGGGGGAATAAAAGCCAAGGAACAGTAAAACACACCTTTTAAAGTACTAAAATCTAAAAACAGACAAAAAATTCCTTCCATCCCATAATTCCATACCAAGAACTATATTTCCCAAAGTCAACCACTTTCTATCAGTATTCTCATTTGTTTTCTATTGCTGTAATGACAACCATAACCAAAAACTTCTTGAGAAGGAAAGGACTTATTTCATCTTTTAACTCCCAAACACCTCCTATCACTGAGAGAAGCCATGGCAGGAAGTGGAGACGGAAACCTGGAAGCAGGAACTGAAGGAGAACCATGGGGGAGTGCTGCTGCCTGACTTGCTTAACCAGCTTTTGTAGACTACCCAGGACCACCTGGCAATGTGGTCATCATCAATTACCCATCAAGAAGATCCCCCCACAGACCTGCCCACAGGCTAATGTGGCTCACTCTTCCCAGATGACTCTAGCATGTGTCAAGTTGTGAGTAGGGGGGGGGGAAGCCACAGGACATGACACTAACCCCATACAAGACATAGGAAAAGTATAAGATAACACTTCCAGCAGAATGATTCCACAAAAAACAAAACAAAAACAAAACAAAATAATGATAAGTCCTTTAAACAGAGAAGAATAACAGAAGGCAAGTCATACAGAGACTTGCAGTACCACCAGCCTCAGTGTGTTTGGGAATGGAATGTTTGTCTTTATTACTAAAGTCTTTTTAAAGCAAAGTGATATAATAAAGTCTAGTGATTTCAAAATGAGTTGAGTGTACAACAATAATATGTTAGCCGGAAGTAGAGAAACAAATATCCACTGTTACAATGTTACTAAAGTATATGTAAAGTGTGCTGTATTAATTTGAGGTGAAAACATATTAAGTTAAAACAGATTTTATAAGCCCTAAAGGAAGTGTGTGTGTGTGTGTGTGTGTGTGTGTGTGTGCGCGCGCGCGCGTGCGCGCGAGCGAGTGTGTATCAAATGGGATGACAAAATAAAAAGACATGGTGTTAGTAAAATTGCAATTTGGGACTGGAGTGATGGCTCAGTGGGGTTAAGAGCACTGGCTGCTCTTCCACAGATCCTGAGTTCAATTCCCCGCAATCATGTGGCAGCTCACAACCATCTATAATGGGATCTGATGCCCTTTCTGGCATACAGGCATACATGCAGATAGAGCATTCATACATAAATAAAATTTTAAAAATTGCAATTTACCCGAGAAAATTTTCAAAAAGGAAAGGGAAACATAGATAAAACAAGCAAAAGGCAATTAGCAAGGTAAAGGGTTTAAATTAAGTAATCACATACATACTAAAGACAGACTGACATATGGGAGTAGGGTGCCATAAACTGTCTTCAAGAAACTATTTTTACTCATATTCGACAAGAGGAACTATGTGGTATATAGACTGTATACCATTCTGAACAAAAGAAAGCTTGGGTGTAATTTGAAAGTTATCTCTATAGCCAATTTGCATTCAGTTAGAGCATCATAAAGAATCATGGCAGATAAATGAAAATCAGAGGCCTCCCAGCTCATGTATATAAGATAGAATTGCTGTCACATCCAAACAAAAAGTCAGAAAGTAAAAACACACAGAAAAACATGTATTAAAAATGTGTGTATGGTTTTGTATGGTTTTCTTCCTTTTCTTGTATTTTAAATTGTACTGTTTTACCCACATGTACATTGATTCTTCATAAACTTTCTTCTGTTCTGGTAAATTTTTATGAACTTGACACTACATATAGTCATCTGAAAGAGGTAACTTCAATTGAGAAAATGCCTCCATCATGTATGGCATACCCCCCCAGGTAAATGGCTTTCCAGACTCCATCCATTATGGTATGAAAATGGGTATAGAGACAAAGCTCTTGTCATATTGGGAAGGTCCCTGGTCCTTGGGAGGTGCCTTTCCTGAATCCGAGGCTTACACTGCCTCTTGCTGCATGACTGTGGATGATAACGTCATTTTCTTCAACTTCATTTTTTATTTTTGATTGTGCAAATAGTGGATACTGCATCTCAAGATGCCTGGGCCTGGAGTGGTTCCTGGTATTATAAGTGTATATAGTTGATTTTTTCCTCTTCTGCAGTACCATGACTGATATAACTCATACCCTGAGTGGAACTAGAGAAACAATCTTAGTTTGTTGGGTACCCCCCACCTCGCCATCCTGACTCGTGGGGCTTCTGGAGTTACTTCTCTAAACTGATAATCTTCAAAGACATTGATAACTGTATTACGATAAAGAGGGCATTGATAACTCTTGGTGTACTGTGGAAATAGAAATGTATTAAATATTCCAGGCAAACTGTAAGGAAAGCATAGGCAATGGAGAGGCAGGAAAGATGGAGGAACGAAGTGCATTTTGTTATTGTTGTCTGTTTGCTTTTTGTCTGTCTGTCCTTGTTTTTGGTTTGTGTTTGTTTTAATGTTTTTAATTTGTATTTTATTTATTTTATTTTTATCTTTAAATTTTTCTTTAGAAAGGATGCTACAAGGGCGAAGAGCTGATATGGGGGACTAGGTGATAAGTGGGGTTGGGGTACATGTGTGAAATTCTCAAAGAATCAATGAAAATTATGTTTAAAATCTTCCAGGAAAATAGCACACACCCATAATCCAAGAACCAGGGAGACTGAGGCAGCATTTGAGATGTTGAAGCTTGCAGATATACAGAGAGGCTCAAAGACATACTGAACAACATAACCAGTCTCCATTTCATTCAAAATAAGTAAATAAACAAACACAAGGGAAGAAATTTATAAAATACCCCTATTGGATATTTCTAACCCAAATACAGTGAGACCACATAATGATACTCATGTAAATGATTGACCTCATTTGTGATGGGGTCTCATAAGCTTTTATCTCCTAATGAGAACAAAGCTATCTCTGGGTATGGAAGCACATTATATGGTTTTTGAAGAAGGAGCAAAAAATTGAAACAAAAAACCACCCAAATGACACATTATCAGACCATATCCTATTATTAAGTGATGCATGTACATGCTTATACAAGGCAAGGTTCTGGGTGCCTATGTATTCAATATTTTAGTTCAACTATCTGGTATAATTTAACTGTTACTAATAGAAAAACGGAAATGACCTTGAGCTCCAGTATTGAAGTTCCCAGTTCAAGCATGGTATAAATAAGAGAAAATGTCTATGTCATCTTGGAAAGAAACCCTATCACTTATGGGAACAGAGATGAGATTTCTAAAAGCCAAACTCATATTCTAACTGGTTTCTTGGATGAATTACAGTCCAGATTAACTTTTGAACCTCACAGAGTACAGACAGCATCCTTAGGAATCAACAAAATGAATATTAAAACTATATTAGATCCCATCAGAGTGGTTATCATCAGAAAAACAGAAACAGTAAATGTGTTGTGTGTTCATGGAAAGAGGAGCCCTTACACACTGCTGGTGGGACTGTAACTGGTACCACCACTATGGAAATGAGTAAGAAGCTACTACAATAATAGCACCACAAGGTCAACTTCACCATTCCTGGGTAGACAACAAAGGGCTCTAAATCAGCTCACTACACAAACTGTTGCATACCCATATTGTTACAGGATTCACAATAGACAAGAGATAGCAGTCTAGATACTAATCAATGAAAAATGGATAAAGGAAATGTGGTGTATATATGAGTTTTATTTAGTCATAAAACTAAATTATATCAGTTTCATAAAAATATAAGTGGACATTGTCATGTAAAGAGAACTAAACCACATTTAGACACATACTACATTTTTCCTATGCAGAAGAGTACAGAGAGAGAGAGAGAGAGAGAGAGAGAGAGAGAGAGAGAGAGAGAGAGAGAGAGAGAGAGAGAGAGAGAAGAGAGAAATGAGAACAGAAGGGGAATTAGTAAGAGGACTGAAGGATCTGAGACGAGGAGAAGAGGAACAAAAGAGGGCAATGGGAAGGAAGACAAATATATCACGTTTTCTCTCATGAAGAATTCAGGATTACACACACACACACACACACACACACACACAAGCACGCATGCACTCACGCACACACGCATGCATGCATGCATGCACGCCAGAATGGAAACTATTTGAGAAGATAGAGGGAACCAGCTGACCTGCTGGAGGGGAGAGGAGGGGAAGATGGGATGAGTGAGGAACACAAGCCTCACATAACTCTTTACCGTGAAGACATTATTCTGAAAACAAGTAGTTTGTTCAGCCATGTATTAGCTACTTTATACAATGTTGTGGCAAATGCCTGGCAAAAGCAACTTAAAGAGGAAAGGGTGTGTTTTGTCTCATAACCCATTGTGACAATGAAGCCATGGTGACAGCGGTTTGAGGCAGCCGGTCACATTGCATCCTCTCTCGGGGAGCAAAGGGGAATAAATGCTGGTGCTTAACTAGCCTTTTCCTTTTCATTCAGAGGTTTCCTTCCACAGTGATACTAAATATTATCAGCCATGTAAATAATTAACTAGAGATACACATTTTCAAAAGAAATTGCGATGTGGAGAGCAGGCTTGAAATTGGGATCGTTATAGGCAGTGGGGATAGTGAATCCCACAGTAGAAAGAGCTGAGTGATGGCACGTAATCACCAAATAGGAGTTAGGTGGGGATACCATAAAAGACAGAAAGTGAAAGCAGCAGGCAGAACTCTCAAGGAGATCCTGCTCTTGGAGTTTTGTGCTTCAAACAGAAATAGATGGACTGTTTATTAACTAAAGTAGTATATTCTTAGTCAGGCAGGAAAGACCACTAACTTCCATCGTCAAAGCAGAAGAGTCATTGCCCCTTAATCAATTCCCAGCCTGGAGATACTTTTACCCAAGTGGCTATGCACTGAGGGAACAGAAGTAACCCAGCATGCCTATGACCATCGAACACTGACCTGACACTAATCCAGGAGATCCCAGGTGTCATTTGTCCTGCCAGCCAAAGTAAAGATGTATAGACCAAGTGATCACTGAAAAGGTTTAGCTCAGATGTATCTTACTGTACTATTTTTTTCTCCTACTTCTGGAATGCATGGTTATTAAAGTAGATACTCTCAGCCTCTGGCAGAATCCCTACACTGGTTCCCTCACCAGTAGAGTGAGGGCTGAAACAGAAGGAAGGACAGTGAAATCCCTTGCAGTGACCATGACAGGAAAGCAGGAAACCAAAGCAATTTTGTGTCTGTGGAGGGATTTCAGGGATTGGAGCCACTTCAAGGCCTTGAAAGTTGGAAGGCTAGTGAGGTCCACCACATTGCCATTCAACTCCTATGTTGAAAAGTTGGAAACAGATGGGTTTTGAAAATACAATGGAATGTTATAAAATCTTAAGCAGGTGGTGATTCCAATTGCACCTGCTGTTCCAGATGTGATTTCATTGCTGGAACAAACTGACATATATGCTGCCACCTGGCATGCAGCTATTGAGGTAGAAAATGCTTTTGTCTCTGTATCTGTTACTAAAGACCATCAGGACTCAGTTGCTCTCAGGTGGTAATACAACTGCACCAGTCTCATTTCAGGAATATATCACTTCTCATACTTTAGGTCCACAGGGATTCTGATTACTGCACGTGTTTACAAGAAATCCACAGGTTCATTTCGTCAGAGGCATTGGAGATATTGTGTTGCCTAAACTTGGTAGGCTAGAAGTGGTGATTAGTGTAAACTGCATGCCAGGTGCTAGGAAAAAAAACTCACAAAATTTGAAGTCTCCCACAGATTCAATGTTGTTGCATGTGTCAACTTGTCTCTAGATATCATGGGCACAATGCAGAGTGGCCTTCTTTGTTCTAAAAAAAGAAACATGTTATTCATCTGAGTCTTTATATAGAGTCATCCAAGCAGCTTCTAATTTTGAGGGATGCTTAGGAGAAGGTTCACCAGCTATCCAGGATATGCCCAAGCTTCTGTACCACTTGAAGCAAACCATCCATTAGATCTAATGCATGTTAAAGAGACTGCCAAACAGAAGCACTTTTTGAAACCTCTGGATGGCCCTTTCGGGTACGTTATGAGTAGACCTTTGGACTATAGAGAAAGCAAACAACTACTTTCCTTTTTAGAAACAGCCTTTGGATTGTGACTTAATTAACTTTGGTATACATAAAACCTGACCTGCCCACTAATTGGGTGTTACCTGACCCAGCAGACTGGGCATATACAACATACCTACAAAACAGCACTTGGTCATCAGATGAATATATGTACAGGATTAGGTCCAAATAAACCCTGAAAATAAAACATTATGTGAATCAGTTGCCCATTTGTTTCTAGTTGTTCTCCCATTACAACCCCTTCTCTTTGTCTGTGCCTGTGACACCATACGGTATCCCTTATGATCAGATTGTGTAATGGAAGAAAAGACAACTCACGCTTGGTTCTGGGTGGTTTTGCAGAATGCACAAGAATCATGCAGAAATGGGCAGCAGCACTGTAGTCTCTCTATGGGACACTGCAGAAAGTCAAGGGTGAAGTGTAGCCTTTAAGCAGTGCACCTGATTGTCCTCTCCACTTGAACTGACATGCAACTGTATACTAACATCTAGTTTGAGTAGACGTTCAGGGCTTTGAATAGAACATGGTCAGAACATGGTATTAAGGAGGTCTGAGAAGTAATATTGTAAAGTTCTTTTTATTAAGCAAGCCACACCCTGGGAGAGATTATATTAATAAGGCACTTGTATCAAAAATTAATGCTTTAAAATAATAATAATAATAAAGCAAATAACCCAATGGTAAAATTGGGTAAAGATTTTAACACATTTTATCTATACACACAGACATACACAAACATAAGCACATCATAAGATGTTCACCAATATTATTCATTAAAGATATGAAAATAAAATAACAATTATGCTGCTCTGTGACACAACAGATAGCCCATTGATCTTCTAGTGATGAAAATAGCAACTTGATTAAAGCTATACAATAATTAGAATAGTTAAAATCCAAAAGGCAATACAGGGGGCCTGGAAAGGAGGATCAGATGCTCTTCCAGAAGACCAGTGTTTGAATCCCAGCACCCATATCACACAGCTCACAACTGACTCTAAATTTAGGTCTATGGGATGTGAAGCCATCTCATAGCATCTACTAGTATCTACACACACACACACACACACACACCAAGCATGCACACACATCTTAACAAAAATAAAATAAATCATTTCTAGAGGCTATAAGAAAATAATTTTTTAAAAAGAACCCAGCTGGGTGTGGTGGTGCACGCCTTTAATCCCAGCACTCAGAGGTAGAGGCAGGCCTGTCTCTGTGAGTTTGAGTTCAGCCTGGTCTACAAAGTAAGTTCCAGGACAGCCGGGGATGTTACACAGAGAAACCTTGCTCCAAAAAACAAAAACAAAAGCAAAACAAATAAACAAAAAGAACCCTGAAATCCTATCATCTGTAAAACTTGTTTTGAAGACAGTTTATAAATTTTATCATGCACCCATCATATAGCCCAATCATTATTCTAGTAGCCATTTTTTCAGAAGAAATAATATTTGTATCCAAACACTCATACTTTCAGACATGTCAGATTCATTTGTGACAACTCAAACCACAAAATAATCATCCACACACAGGTAAAAGAAGCATATTACATGTCTATGTAATGGAATACTGTTGAATGATGTTTTTGATCTTACTCTTTTGGCCTTTTCTGGGGCGGGGCACCACTCAGCTCCTAAATAACTAACATAGAAGGCTTATTCTTAGTTATGAGTGCCTGGCCTTCTCTTGGCTTGTTTCTAGCCATCTTTTCTTAAATTAATCCATATACCTTTTCTCTCTGGGCTTTTATCTTTCTTACTTCTGTGTATCTTACTTTCCTCTTTACTCTGTGGCTGGCTGGCTGGCTGGCTGGCTGGCTGGGTGACTAACTCCTGTCTTCCTCCTCTCCTTGCTCTCCTCCTTCCTCGATTTGTCCTCTCTGCCCACCAGCCCTGCCCGTTCTTGCTCCTGCCTCACTATTGGCCATTCTTCATTAGCCACCAGGTGTTTTAGACAGGCACAGTAACACAGCTTCACCGAGTTAAACAAATGCAGCATAAACAAAAGTCACACACCTTAAAACAATATTCCTCAACAGAATGCTACCCAGCTATCAAAGGCATAAAGTGTTGATCAAACAACATGGATGAATCTCAAAATAATAAGTATGCCAAGAGAGAGAAAAGCCAAGCACAAAGAAAGTGAATCATGTGTGGCTACCTTTATATAAATTTCTGGAAAATGCTGACACAGCAAGATGGCAGATCTGTTAGTTGTCTTTGCGAATTTTGGTTAATATGTGTGCCTATTCATCTGTGTCAAAATGTATCAGACTTTTCACTTTTCATTTGAAATCTGTCCGTCAATTGCACCTTAATTGAGCTCCCCGAACATAGGGGGGAAAAGTGAATGGGGAAAGGTGCTTCTAATGTCCCTCATTCAGATGCTCACTGGGAAGAATTTTCTAGGCAGGTTCTTTGCTCTTATGTGAAATCATGACCAGATATTGAATATTGTTTAAATGCTTTACTGCATTTATTGCTCACTATTATTATTGCCTATTTATTCTCCAACACATCATAGCATAATGACTCCCTCGTACTGATGAGTGCGTCATCTTCATATTAAAACATTCTGCAGGATTTTGCTTCCTTCCCTCCACTCTGGACTTAATCAGCTGATAACTTAGGTGTTTTTGCACAGCGATCGATGCAGAAACAAGGCGGTGTCTCTAGATTTTCCTCCATGTCCAGTTTCAATTTCAAGTTTATAACATGTTCCCAAGTTGTAGAATTTATATTAGATCCACAAGCGTAGAATGACCCATTCTATGTGAAATTAGTTGGAAAGGAGAAATAGTAGAATAACCTGGCATTTCCTTGGCCACAAACTTTTAAAATGTCATTTAATTTCATAATGGATAGAGATCTATCCAGGCACTCCAATGTTTCATGAATTATTTTGCAGTTTTTTCTAATATTTATCTGCTTTAAAGTTACTATCGTGAAGTTGAATCATTAATCTCTCATGTGTCTGTAATTATGTATCCTCCTTTCTGTACTTAATGTTGTTTATTGTATTTCTTTTCGATCAAAATCTATTTCCGTTGATTTCTATAACAAACACCCTTTGGGTTTATTGGTCTCATTTAGATTACTAAGGGTTTTTAAAGCTATAATTCTATGCTTTCATCGCAATTCAAAAAAATTCTCTGCCAAATGTGTCTTAAATGTTTCCTTCTCCTCCATGCTCTCTATTAACAGACGCTGGAATCCAGAGTGTATTAGAAGTTTCACTCCATTCTCCATTTCTCTTAATTTCTCCTTTAATCATCTATCTTCCAGCTCTGTATGCTACAGTCTAAGCAGTTTATTTCCACAAACGGTCTAGATCAATAATTCTCTCGGCCATTACATGTAATTAGCTACTTCTAAACAATTTGTTAAACACACTTATTAGGGATCTCATTTTATCTCCATAGTCACACAATGATGGAAATTCTATCCAGTTGTGTGCTGTCATCCGGACACTCTGTTTTTGTTTTTGTTGGGCTCGCCCTTCCCTCCTCCTGGGGCCACTGCCCACTACTCTCAGTTCTACCCTGATCTTAGCATCTGTTCCTCTTGTTTCTCTTCTCTCAAGATTGGATTAGATATTGAATCGCAAACTCCTGGCTTACTATACATCCTCTTATGTACTCATTAATCTGCCACAGTGTCTTCCCTTCAGTGTCTAGCTAGGTCTTCTGCAGTGGGAGCACCTGCAAGAGTGTGGGAACACCAGACCTTGAGCAGAGACCCACTTCCGCATTGGCCTGGGAGTAGGCAGCTGTAAGACAATGTTTACTAAAAACATGTTTACTAAAAACAATACAATGCCCAGGGCAATAAGTTCCTGGAAAAGGCCTGCCCACAGAAACCACCCTGACCTCCACCTTGTCCAAAGACTAACCGCCTCTTCTGCCACACCCAGATCAGTTTTTTTGGTGTCAGAGCAGAACCAGCCAGGGTAGAGGAAAGAGCAGAAGCTTCTCTGGTGGGAGCCTTTCTTAGGAAGTTTTCTTGAACCTTTTTGGGGCCTGCTTAAAGTTTTCTTTACATCGTTGAACAAGTCTCTGTGTTGTCAATCCCCGACACCCTCCACACATTCTCGGACACAGGCTGCACGGCTGATGCGACACAAGAGCACCTAGCATTCTGTGTAGCCAGACACGGAAGTTAGTTCCAGCACCATGTCTTATGAAATTAAAAGGAATATTGGAAACTATCAGAGCTATCTGCCTCCATTCAGTATGCTGATAATTGAAACACACTGATTCATATAACCTCCAGGTAGGAAGGAACTGTTATGAACCAAATTGCATCCTTTCAAAAATCATATTGTAAAGCCCCAGTGTTCAGTATACTTCAGAATGAAGCTGTGCTTGGAGATTGAAGATTAAAGTGGTAATTAAAGTTAAACAAGGTCACAATAGTGGAACCCAGCATGCCTAGTGTCTTTCTAGAAAGAGAGAGAGGGCAGGAATGCCCAAGCACTCTTTGAAGAGACAATGAAATGGTGACTACCTTCAATCCGATGAGAGACCCTCAGAAGATCTAACCATATTAGCACCTTGACTTTGAACTTCCAATGTCCAGAATTAGAAGAACCAAATTCTGTTGTTTAAAAGACTCAGTCTGTAATGTGTTCACATTGTGAGTCCCAGCAAACTAATGAAGGTTACCAAGAATTACATGTCCTTCTCATTCGTATAACAACTTGTTCCTCTTGCCCTTCTGGGAAATTTTAGCCATCTTTCAAGGCCAGCTCTAAAGTCACATCTTCTATGTAAACCCTTAATCCACCTCATTTCATATTTTGACATATTTCCATTGTAGTCCTTTTACACTGTTATCAGGGTCTGTCTCTTACAGTAAATGTGAACTCCTGAAGAGCAGTTACCTACAGCCTGTCTTTGAATTCCCAGTCCTTACAGTGATCCTTGTAGGATGTGTGGATAAGATGCAATTTCTCAGACTACCTCACTCCTTGCTGCCCTCTGGTGGCTATTTGTTCTCCAACACATCATTGAAGACAGAACCAGGACAGTACCCGGCTTTTATGGCATTAATGTTTCTCCACTTTCTACAGCATCTGCAACTTTCTGGTCTGGTGTTTATTAGTAACATGTATAACAATATCCTTGATCCTCTCTATCCTAAAATCGATGACTTCCAAGTCTAACTAGATCACATTCCATATAAATCTAGACTCACCCAGGCACTATGGTACAACTTTTAATCCCTGTATTTGAGAAGTCGGGGCACCAGCATCACAAGTTTGTGAGCTATACCATGAGTTTGATACCCTATCTCTTAAAAAAGATTCCAAATTCCTAATAATTCATTCATCTCTTACTTCAGAAACCCATTATTTGACTGCACTCAGACCTAACTATCAAAGCACTTTCATCCATATGCCCTTTAGCTTGGCCATAGCCAGTGTTGTCCAGGAGATCCTCCTTGCTGAGAACATGTTGCTTTACTTGATCAATGAGACCTCCTAGATGTGGTTAAGCAGAGGTAGCAGGAATGTGGAGCCAGGAGCCAGAGAGCACAGGTGTCCCCTAGAAACTGGAAAGCACACTCTCTCTTCTGGGCTCCAGGAATGGCACAGCTCTGCCAACCCATTTGAGGCTGCTAAGTTACCAAACTGTAGGAGAATAAATTGTGATGCTGCAACCCACGAAACTTGTGGCAACTTGACAGATTAGTAACAGGAATCTCCCATAGGCAGATCGATAGTCTGTCTAAGCCTTTCCTACTACACCCAAGCATGTTCTTACAGCCAGTTGTCCATCTAATGGTTTCATTTCATCCCCACTCTATCTAGATAGTAAGGTTTTAATTTGAGCACCTCACTTCTCAAGACGCTTAGGTTCTAACCAGTTGCCATTTCTCCTTTTCTACTCCAAAAATCTCAACAGGGCAACAAACATATCCAAACCCTGTTTGCCTCTACTCTACATTGAAGGTACATACCATCCTGTGAGAAAACATCTGAACAACAAATATTAATGAAGCTACAGACTCATGCCTGGCAACCTCAGCTAGTTCCCCCGACTCTCTATTTCTTTTGTGTGGATTTCATCACTCCCTGTTTTCCAGAAATAATTCTACACCATTATCCCTTGTCAACTCAACTATACTATTATCAGAATTCTCTCTGGTAAGTTCCCTTATCCTCTGGTTTTGTTTTCTTCTTTTTGTTGATAATTCCAGAGATTGAATGCAGGGCCTATAAAAGCTCAACAACACATGACCACCGAGCTACAGTCCTAACTAGTAGCATTGTTTCTTTATTTTTGGACAGGGCTTAAGTAAGTTGTTCAGCCTACCCTTGAGCTCACTCTGTAACTCAGGCAGACTTTTCAACCCAGCTGCTTCAGGCTTCCATGTTTCTTTTGCAGGTCCACAACAACAAGCCTGTCTTGTCTTCTGTTTTTAAGAGGAATGTGGGGAACGATATGGACTTGTTCCAACCTGGCCCTTTGTCACAGCGCCTCTTGCTCTCATGATACTAAAAGACTTCCCTTCTCTATGCCCCCATTCTTCCTAGTCTATATTTTCCTAAAACACACTTATCTCATTCCTGTTTTCAAATTTAGGGGTAAACATCCATGGGCCACCTATTCCCTGGGTGACTACCAATCCTCTGTGTTTGCATTTTATTTTACTGTCTTCTATTGCAACTATCATGTCATGAACATTACACATGACATCATGTTTAAATGCATTCCTCTTCGACGTGTCTCTGCTCTGATTAGACTGAAGATACCTTTAGGTCTCTGCCTTCTCATTCCTAATACTCTAGCACTATGTCTTTAATTCCTGAGAAATAGTAAGTAGAAAGGGAAGAAGAGACTCTTGGGAGGTGAATGACCAGTCAGCCTCTCTCACCACATGCACACACTGGCACGGCTCTCACCTCCTCCCAATGATTAATCTGTTTGGAGACTATGATCTGCCCCAAATCCCCAGGCAGAAGCTCATAGCCATCCAAATGACAAGTGCATTGGCACGTCCATCAAATCTGCTTCAGAATCGGGAAGACACTCTTGGCTGCCTCGGTGCTCCACACCATCTGGTCAGGTGGCATAATGCCCACTTACAAGGTCAGTTCCTTACTGCCCTGAACTTTCCATATTGTGATGCACAGGAACTTTTTTTCTGAGAGGCTAAGTGAAGTCGTAAGAGGTACCATTACTTCCTCCATTTTTAATTTTCTGCTGTAATCCTCAACTGGGCATCAGGGATAGTTATTTGTCCAGAACATTACTGTCAAGTAGCTATTCCCAAAAACAACAGAATGGTTTGGGAAGATGGTGTCAGTGAAGTGACATTCACCAAAGAAAAATGGACGAGTGTTTTCTAACTTCACAGATTGCCTTGCCTGCTTAGTGGATATGTTTATCCTAAATTGTATTGTTGGCCTATGAAATGATGTGCCATTAACTATATCCACTTGTAAATGATGGGGGTTTTTTTGCATTCAAATGAAATTATCACTCCAACACCAGAGGTGGAGGTGAGAAAGGTGGCTGTAATATACCTCTTGGTGGTTTAGGTTTGTGGTTAGAATTTGCTTGAAGATCTCTTCAAGCCTCTTGGGAGTAAATGGCTCCCAGTAGAGGACAGAATGATAAAGAACTGTGCAAATGACATTCATCTGTACCCAAATAGAAAGGAGAACCGCACTGCAGACACAGTTCCTAAGGACCATGTTTGAGACCTGTACAGGCTTCATACAAAACAGATATAAACACTTCTACACACCATCGGTACCACCACATTCTTTCAAATACTTACTCTCCTTTTAGGTCATTCTCTGAGCAGACAATTGGCAGATGTATTCAAAGCCGAACAAAAGCGAAGGCATATTCCAAACCAAGTGTGTGAGAGGATAGCCTAAGATCTATGTCTCTACCTTTGCCTTGCTCACCTATGCAGCTGGGAAGAAAAGGAAGCAGATAGAAAGAAAATTCTCTTCCTTCAAGATTCGGTACACAGGCTATCTTCTCAACAGGCTCCTTTAACTACTGCAATTCACTAAATTGTTCCTGAACACACCTAGGATTTTGATTTCACCAGATTCCATACAGACTGGCTTTACTGAAAGTTCACTTAGGTAAAAATAAATCATTTCCCCAATTAGCTGCAATGGCCACAAGGAACCACTCTCTAACCCAGTGACTAAATGTAAGACATGTTCACTAGAAATCTACTCCGCATCACCAATGGATACTTATCTTTTTGTTTGTTTGTTTTGTTTTGTTTTTCGAGACAATGTTTCTCCATAGCTTTGGAGCCTTTCCCGAAACTTGCTCTGTAAACCAGGTTAGCCTGAAACTCATAGAGATCCATCTGCCTCTGTCTCCCAGGGCTGGGATTAAAGGCATGGGTCACCACCGCCCAATAATACTTCCGTTTTACCACTCTGGAGAACAAGTGAAGTGGGCTGTGAAGCGAGGTCGGTGTTTGTGTTGAGAGGTGAGGGGAGAAGGGATGATTTCTAGAGGAAGTAGGGAGAATATTAAAAATCCATCAAGCTACTAAAAAATATGCCTCCCAGGGAATTAAGACAAATTGGATTAGTGGAAGTTTATATAAGCGGCTAAAGATATTTCCAAACAGCACTTTGTAGAGCCTGGGCGAGTTCTGAAGACTTCTAGACTTTTTGGATGCTGGGTGAGCACAGGCTCTGGGTCTCAGGCCAACAGAGCCCCTGGGCACGCCTGCCGTCACCACGGCTCCTCACCACCAGGGGGAGCCAGAGGCGCTCATCTACCGGGCCGCTCTCCCAGCGTACCCCGCTCCCGCAGGCCACGACCCGGAAGCTGTCGCCGGCTGGCGGCCAGCCGGCGGCTGTGATCGCTTTGGGGCTGCGGAACGCAGTCGCCTGGGCTGCCGGAGCTTGCTGCGGCTCCTGACCGCGAAGGTCGGAAAGAACCCCCCATGAGTCCGCACCAGACAGGGGCGCAGTCTGGGCACGCGGCCCCCGGCGACGTGTGATCAGATCTGCCGGCCGCTTCGGCGGCGTTCGTAAGTGTCCGTGGGCCGCGCGGGCTGCGAAGAGACTCTCCGCCTGGGACATGAGGAAGGCCGTCAAGCCTTCCTCGTCTCGATTGGGAGAGACTGGTTGGTGGTCTGTGATTACAGCAGCGAGCGGGAGAAGCCGGGCGTTCTCGCTTTGCAGTGCCTGTAGTACCGAGGGTCCAGAGTTCACTCACTAGCACCCGGGCTTAGTTCTTCTCTGGGACAGTTCATGCTCTCACTCCTGTCACCAAAGTGAAACAGGAGGCCGTCCTCTGTGGAAACCACCTGTTCTTTCAGCCATGAAGGCAGGAACGGCGACCCCTCCCCAGGAGAACACCCCTGAGTCCGGCTGTGTCTTCGGTAGTCTATGGAGTAGCCGGAAGCTGATGGTTGTGGGGGTCTTGCTGGGCTGGCTACTTGTCATCCACCTGCTGGTGAACATGTGGCTTCTGATCCTTCTGTGTGCATCGTTGGTGGTGCTCGGAGGATGGCTCGGCTCCAGTGCCATTGCAGGGGCTTCGGGCCAATTGCACCTGGAACGATTCATCACGGTCAACACCTGCCCGCCATGCCCCGAAGCAGAAAGGCAGCTGGACCATGAGATTAACTGCACCATCCAGATGATAATCCGAGACTTTGTGTTGTCCTGGTATCGTTCGGTGAGCCAGGAGCCAGCATTCGAGGCAGAGATGGAGGCAGCCATGAAGGGGTTGGTTCAGGAGCTCCGAAGGCGGATGAGCGTGGTGGACAGCCATGCGCTTACCCAGAAGGTTCTGACTCTCTGTGGCTGTCACCTGCAGAGCTACATTCAAGCAAAGGAGACCACTGCAAGGGAGCAGAGCGATTCAGGTCATCCCTCCCAGCTGTGGGATGCTTACTGCCGGGCTACTACCCCCCATCCTGCCATGCACAGTCCCACCACCGAGATGGCCTATGCACGTGGCATTGTGAGTTTGTTACTTCAAGAGTTAGTGCCCAAGCCCCACCTGGAGACCAGAACTGGACGCCATGTAGTAGCTGAACTTGTTACTTGCAATGTAATCTTACCACTCATCAGTAGGCTATCAGACCCTGACTGGATCCACCTTATACTTGTGAGTATCTTTTCCAAGTATAGACATGATGCAGCCCAAGGAACTAAACCCCCCTGCTCAGCCAGTGTCCTAGAGCAGTCCTCAGTGCCCACGTCTCTGCCACTGATTGTTGAAGTAGAGAGTCTGCCGATAGGAAAAGTGCCTTCTCCACTAGCCGTCCCAGTACACATAACCTGCAGTGAGCCAGCCCCCTCCCCAGAGGTCGAAGAAGGCCACGAAGCAGTAGAGGGAGATTTGACTGAGATGCTTGAAGAAAGAAAAGGAGGAAATAACGCGTCCCATTTTCTACAGCCGGATATTCGAGGCCCCTTATTCTTATGTGAAGACTCTGAGCTGGAATCACCGCTGTCCGAACTGGGCAAAGAAACCATCATGCTCATGACCCCTGGCAACTTCCTCTCCGACAGGATTCAGGATGCCCTGTGTGCCCTAGAGGATTCCCGGGCTCTGGAGCCTAAGGATGGTGAGGGGTCCGAAGGTCTGGAAGGAGCAGAAGCCGAGGAAGCCCCAGGAACAGACCCAGACACAGGCCTGCTGGTCTCCATGCTTAACTGCCCAGAGATCCAGATTGACACAGCAGACAAGGATGCAGAGCAAGAAGACGTCACCTCTCTGACACCTTTGCCAGAGGAGCCAGAAAACCCCTGCCCCCCACGGCCCTCATGCTTGGAAAAGGATGTCACCAGTGGTGTGAGCTCCCTTGATCCGACTCTGCCACCAGCCCCACTTTCTTCATCTCCACCTGGTCCCCTCAGCTCAGCCACCTTCAGCTTTGAGCCCCTCAACAGTCCAGATGGCCCGGTTGTCATCCAGAACCTTCGGATCACTGGCACCATCACTGCCCGAGAGCACAGTGGTACTGGATTCCACCCATACACGCTGTATACTGTGAAGGTAACAAGATTACAGTGGTGGTCGTGCACTCTGGAAATGAGTCTGGGAAGCAGAATCAGTACACAGACTATTGCAAGGGCAGATAAGAGTATGCTGTGTTTAATTAAACAAATGTGTGAGTGGCATGTCGCTAATTTGGGAGGCAGAATAGGCTCTCACCCTATAACTATACAAACAGCCCTAGAAGCTCAGTGTTGGAACACTGGGAGTCAAATTTTGGTTCTCAAACCTGGTTTCACGCTTTCCGGTGCTCGCTGTTCTAGGAGTGTGCAGTGGAGGTCATCACTCCCACATACTGGCTCTTTAGACACATGAAGGCAGCAGACTGACCTCATAGAACATTTCCAGTCATCATGGGATGTCTAATGATACAGCTAATATATACCTAAGACACAGAATTTCAGTTCAATTCCAGGAATAACAATAGGAAGATTAATCTGCCCAACACAACAGAAAGAAAAACTGAAATATTCCAGGCAAAGACCTGATCTATGATTATCTGTTGCTTGGCTTTATTAGTTCTTCCTCAAACTAGCATAATCTTTGGTGACTGGATATAATGGCAAAGTGATTTTCCCTTGATGAGGTCTCTCCTGTCATTTAGCAATAGTCACTTTTGTAGGTATTAGTGGCTTCTGTTTTATAATGAATTTAGGATCGGAAAAAAGTTGTGTAACTACTTTGGGGGTGGGAACTTTTGAATAAAAGCAATCCTAAGGAACAGTGAAAAATATTTCAGACTGAACAAAGGGTACCAGGAAGTACACCTTACTCATCCACCTTGGAATTTGGGTGTTAGTTACAACTGAGGGTGACAGCCAGATGCAGTAGGTTCAGGAACATGAATGAACGACTTTCTCCTGCTGTGACCGTTGAACAAGTCATTAAAGCCAGAATAGATTCCATAATCCTCACTGACTCCATTGATAATTCTGTTCCTTCCACAGTATGAGACAGCCCTTAATGCCGAGAACAGCAGCGGCCTACAGCAGCTGGCCTACCACACCGTGAACCGCCGCTACCGGGAGTTCTTGAATCTGCAGACTCGCCTGGAGGAGAAACCAGATCTACGAAAGTTTATCAAAAGTCAGAAGTTCCCCAAGCCCCAAATGCCATCTTGCATATCACTTGTAGTCACCCTGTTCTGCATGCATGGTGACCTGTGGGTTTGGGGGGAGAAGAAAGCACTGAGAATGTCTCATTCCCATATTTACTTGAGAAGCTGTGGGGTTTAGAGCAGGTAGCTGTGATGGAATCCTTTCTGAAGTTGTCCTTGGCTACATGCTTTATTCTAGTGCCCCCAATGATTTACTCTTAAAAAGAAGGAGTCACATATCTACCTGTGGGAATCACTTGAGCTAAATTAACTTTTCCAGGTCTATGGATTATCCTTCTTAAATAACCCAGAAATCCTGGTCTTTAACAACCAAGCCTTTGTGTGCAGTTTGACACATCCAAGGTTCAGGGAAGAGTGTAAAACATAGTAAAATTTAACTACAAACAAGCTAGGAGCTGGCTACTTTGTTGTTGTTGTTGTTGTTTTAGATGCTAATGATCACCTAAATAAATGATTGGTTGAATGTAACATAGCTAATACTAGGGCAGGCTACAGAATTGTGCCTGGTTCTCTTCTATACACTTTACATATGTTAGTTCATGTAATCCTCCTTCTTACTGTTCATGAGATAGATACTACTACTCCTTGTTAAAGACAAGAAACTGTTACAGAGCATGTGGCTTGCCAAAGGTTATTATTATAGCAGGGATTGGAGCCAAAACTTAAACTTGGACCATTGGGCCTGCCTTAACCACTGCATTGTATGTTCTCTCCGCATTAATGAGAATAGATTGTTGCATCACAAACACAGGGACAGTTGGAAGTCCCAAAATGAACAAAAATCCAAACACAAAGCCTAGTGAAATATATTCAGTGATTATGTTTGTTTTATATGGATTACTGCTACAAGGATGTCAGATGGATGAATTTGTTGTTTTGTTTTGAAGATATAAAGGGTCCAAAAAAGCTCTTTCCAGATCTTCCATTTGGAAACATGGATAGTGACAGAGTAGAAGCTCGGAAGAGCCTCCTGGAGTCCTTCCTGAAGGTCAGCACCTGCTCTCCTAGCTTTGCTCAAATTCTGACCCCAAACATCCAACCCAAGGTGCCTGGGATTCCTTCTGAATTGCTTGTCTCTTTCAGCAACTCTGTGCCATTCCTGAGATTGCCAACAGCGAGGAGGTGCAGGAGTTCCTTGCACTAAATACAGACGCTCGGATTGCCTTTGTCAAAAAGCCGTTCATGGTTTCTAGAATAGACAAGGTAACAGAACCACTATGCTCAGCATTGTCCTGTCTGCAAGTGTGAAATGTTTATTAGACTGGAGATCATGCTTGGGAAATAAGAAGGGTGAACGTAAACAAAGCACAGAGAGTCGTTAGAACGTGAACTAAAATTTTCAAGATCTGTTGCTAAATATTAACTGGATCATCAACTTGCTGAGTCGCAGTGAGCAGCTGTTGGAAGACAGTGCCCTTGCGCTATGTGTTTATATACCACCGGGAGTTACTGTGGTGGTGTTCTAATGGAAGCATGTGAGGATGTAAGTGAACCTCTGTTGATGGCAAAAGAATGTCTTCGGAGAGATAAGTCGTTCACATTATCGGGTTTTCAGCAGACAGCTCTAAGGCAGTACGTTAATCTGGGTTTGGGTTGGTGGAGTGACTCTCTGCTAGAGAACAGAATGTGCAGAGAACTGTACATTCTTCAGGAGGATGTCTCAGCACCTGTGTAGCTGGTGAGAGAGGATACGGGGGAATCCAATACATTGGAGCCTCAGTTCTTATCATCAGCAATTTTATAAGCAAATATGATTCTTTGTAGGAGGTGGGCCTTCTCATTTTGGCTGGGAGAAAAAAACAAGATGGAATTTCATGTGATAGATGTTAGGGAACATGCTTTGTTATGGGGAAAAAGCAAACTAGAAAGGGATCAACTAGGTAAAACCCCAGAGTTCTGAGCAGATGTGTTCATTTGTTCTTTCCTCATTTCCTTAGGGGGAAATTGCTTTATTATTGCCTGTTCCTTTGTTTTTGACTTTTTGAGACAGAATCTCACTGTAGCCTAGTCTGGCCTGGAACTACCAATATAGTTCAGTTGGTCTCAAACTCCTCCTCGTCAGCCTCCCAAATGCATCATGACACCCAGTTTTTGTGGGTGCTTAGCAATCTGAGCTTGGGTTCTCATGAGTAAGGACTTGCCTACTGCACCACCTCTCCAGCCTGCAAGCTGTGTTTCAGAAGCTGAATTATTTATTATTATTTATGCTCATGCCGTTCCATCCTCTGCTCCCTTCTGGTTTGTTTTTCCTAGTGTTCCCTGTGGTCTTTCTGATTGTCCAGTAAGTCTTGGCTGTACTTGCTGGGCTCCTGTGAGGGATTACCACAAAAATGAGTTACAGAAGGCCTGGCACTCTGCTGAACCAGCAGCATTCATTACCATTGTTTACTTCCATTTCCTTGATAGTTCTCTTTTGTGCATTTCCTTTAATGGCAAATATATGCATGTCAACTTATTCTGAAGTATAGACGGTTCTTGTTTCTCAAAGGTGGTTTTCTCTTTGTAGCTTGACTGCAGGCCTCAGTGATTTTTATACTTTCTCTTCCTACAGGAGAAAACTGTTACCCAACTTGTTACTCTGTGAATCCCTGCAGCATGCTTATTTATATTATTTAAGCTGCTACACCATATTTTTTCTTTTGTTCATTTATTTCTCCTTACACAGCTTTGAAGTTTCCACTAATTCATACTTTGGTGATGGTATTGTGAATTTGGAAGCTAGGAATCACCTTTCTATGTAAAAAGGAAAATATTAACTAAAAGTATACTCTAGTCTGAAGAACTCGCTTGAATTTTTGTTTCTCCCTCTTTTGTTTTTCTTTTGGCTTCTTTTTCCCTCTGTGGTTTGTCTTACTCTATAGAGAAGATGACAAAGAATTCTTGTCATTGGCTGGTGTCCGATTTTTCTCAAAGACTAAGGCTCTGTGGATGGCTCACTCTGTTCATCCTGTGGTATAAAGCACAAAGATGACTGCCCTGTTCTCCATCACTGCCCATCAGCGATGTGTATAGTCATACTGACCCTGTATCTCCAACCCTGCAGATGGTGGTGAGTGCTATTGTGGATACCTTGAAGACAGCGTTCCCTCGCTCTGAACCCCAGAGCCCCACAGAGGAGCTGAGTGAAGCCGAGAATGAAAGCAAGCCACAGACAGAAGGCAAGAAGGCTGGCAAGTGAGAAGCCCTTCAGTGGCCCAGGGCCCCTGTCCTCAGGTGTCAAAGCCCCATTCCGTTCTCAGGCCCTAGAAGAGAGGAGGTCCATGGTGCCCACCAGCTTCTTAGCCAGGCCAGACGCTGGGTTCCACAGTGCTCCACCCAAGGAGTCTTGAGTAGGCAGACAGCTGTGAAGGCAGCACTGCCAAGCGTTTGCTCCCACCCAGGGAACCCTGGACCCAGCTCACTGGAAATTGTTGACTAGAAGGGAAAACTAGAAGGTGAATACTCTTCTTTTTGTAGAAATTGAGGTATTTCTTTCCTGCTAAGAATTAAGGCTTACAATTGAATTGTTTGCCATAATTTCTGGAAATTTTGGCTCAGAGAGTACTTATACTAGCAATAAACAGGAAAGGACTAGAATGGAATCCTGAAGGGTGTATTTTGGTAACTGGTTGACTGCTGCTGCTCCCGCCACATTAATGTCCTAGCTGGTCCCTGGACACACTCCACGCCAACATGTAGAAGGCAAGAACAACACATGCACCCTTACTGAAAAATTTGTGTGAACATGGTACATTAGAGAGGATTTAAATGAATATGTACCTGAGTGGTTATCTTCATGTTCATGCTAAGAGCCAGTAATACAGTAATACTATCTTCATAGTACTTAGGCTTTAAAATAAAAAGGATTATTTATTTGTGTGTGTGTGTATGTATACATGTGTGGTAGTGCCCACAGAGATCAGAAAAGGATATCAGATCCCCCAGAGCTGGAGTTACAGGCAGTTATGAGCCACATGATATGGGTGCTGAGAGATCAATAAGTGCTCTTACTCTCTGATCATCCCTGTAGTCTCAGTACTTAGCCTTTTAGCTGTGCTTATATATGAAACAATAACCACGATGCCTTCCTGATTTATCGAAGTTGTCATTTGGAATTGATTGTCCAATATTATGTGGAGTACAAGGGGAACAGGTGATTATACCCAAAAGATACAAGAACAGTAACAAAAACCCTAGTCGATGGTATTTATCTATTTAATCTTCAACAAATATCTTAGCAAGCCTATCAAGTAGCCTCTGGGAATGTAGCCATGACAGACTAAGCACTATTTTACTTGACCAAAGCCCTTTCATAAGTACCCTGTAGACACAGCATAAATATGACACTATTTGAAGACTTATCGGGTATACATTGTTTGAGAGATTTCAGGGTCCCATCCTCCAGGTAGTTCTGAGCACACTAAGCCCCCCTGGAGTAAGTGTGGATGCTTCTGCTTTAATGTGTTGTCATTCCTTGCCAGCCTCTTTTTTAGGGACCACGATCTTGACTTTCATCTAATTCTACCTTTGTTTCTGTGTCAGGTCCAGACTGAGGTTTTCATCCAGTAAAATTGCTCCTGCACTGAGTATAACAGAGGCACAGGACAGGGTTCTCTACTCTCTCCAGGAAGGCAATTCGGTAAGAGCGCACACCCAAAGAACTGCTACAATCACACTTGAGGTTTTGATCCTGCAGATACAGTGTGTAGGAGGCTTCTCTGAAGTCAGGGAAGAATCAGGTACTCTGGTCAAGGACTTGGCTGATATCTGGGTCTTGAAATTTTATGCTAAAAGTGTTTCCTCTGAGTGCTTTAGAATTCTACCAGTTCTGAGTGGGCAAGTTGGCTTCTTAGGGTAATGGGTTTGTGATAATAATGATAGGTTGAGAAGGAAAAGGAAAACCAGCTTCTAGATAAGAACAGATGACCAGCAGTGTACAGAAGTGATTATCCCACAGCGGGCTGGTTTTACTTACAACCTGGGGAAGGAGTGAGAGCTTTCCTGATGTGGCCATGGCATTAGTGGGCTCTGTGCCCCTGGTACTTTTGCAGGTGGGAGATAGGAAACCTAGATGCTACATTTATCCTACCTTCTGCATTCTTGGTGATCTTTGCCACTGACTGTTTCTCCAGGAGTCAGAGATCCTGTCCATGTCTGGGATGGAATCCTTCATTGTAAAGCAGACAAAGTTACTGGAAATGCAGCCAGAAGAAGAGCCAGATAAAGATCCCCAGCAAGCCCCCAAAGAATGTGTGGATAGTTGCTTGCTGGGTACAGCCATAGAAGCCCAAGAGCTCAAAAGCAGTGGCCCCGGTGAGTAATAAGACATTTGCTTCCACAAAGAAGAGCCAGGGGAAAGTCCACTGGGACTCAGGGTAGGTGGACTTTGTAGTTCTGATTTCTCTTGTGCTTAGCCGAGTGAACTACTACAGAGTTGGAGGTGCTGGGGTCCAGAGATGGGTAAGATGGAAATGGTCGTCGGGTTTAGTCAAGCAGCAGGGAAAATCTGTATTCATAAAATATACATAGTATCAGTGTGTTGTTTTTAGCACAGGGGCTACTGTCTTTTCTAGACAATTCCCTCAGTGTCTGTGGTACCACTTTCCTGATCTCTCTCCTCTCCCTCTCTCTGCCCCTCCCCTCTTTCCCTCCTCTCCACTCATGTTTAGTTTGCGTTGTGTTCTCATTCTGTGTCCTCCCTACTTCTGCCTCTGCACATCTGCCAGTGATGCCTAATTATCAAACAGGGTACGTCTCCACGTGGGTAGACCCAGAACAACTGAAATACAACATCTTCACATAGAATTCATCCTCTCCCAGAACTGGTCCTCCTTTACTTCCTGCCATTGCAGGGCAAAAGAGGCAAACGAGGTGGAGGGTTTGAGCCCCACTTACAAGCATTTTCTTCCCATGAGAAGGTCAGATGTTTCCTACAGAGGAAAAATTCAGAACCTAGCTTTTAGTATGTTTGCGACATAGACTTAAAAAGAAGAAAGTTTGATTGATTAACTAGAACAAAGACCCCTGCGAAGTCTAAATGATCACAAATGATAAGAGGATGAAAGAAATAATTTCATATTTACCCCCAGATGCCCAAGAACAACTCACCTGGCTTCTGCTGTTTGCCCTCAATTTAAGTATGTGACAAATGGGATTTACTCCTGCCCTACCTAGTTGTAGCTGTCAACAAGACACAGCCTAGAGTTATCTGAGAGGAAAACCTCCACTGACTGAGGAGTTGCCTAGATCAAACTGACATGTTTGTGAGCCACTGCCTTGCTGACTAATGTTTGTGAGTTAAAGAGTTTATCATGTTCTTTTACAAGTTGTCTTGTAGTTCCTCATTTGCTTTATTTTTACTGCTATGACTACTTGTTACCACAGGGTGGCAGCTGCAGACAGATACTAATCCTGAGGAAAAGATGGTAGTGAGGAGGCCATCTTCTGAGGGAGGAATAGCCCACCTTCGAACAAAGGACTGAAAAGCAACTCTTCATTTTCCACACCCCCTTGAGATACAGCACAGAAAAAGAAAAATGTGTACTGGGCAGAGTTCAAAACTCTGCCCAAATTCAAAGTGATTCGTATTCTGAAATACCCTTGAAAGAAGAAAGCCGGGGCAGGCTGGTTCAGAGATCCCCAGTGAGCGTAGACTAGCACAACATTGGTAATAATAGTGATGACATTATTCACAGCAGAAATACCAGGATTCCCCCTAATCACTGTGGAACATCAGCATGCCCCTGGGACACTGACATGCCATGGGACACCCCCCCCGCCAAGCACAGATTTAGAGAAGAGATGCTCCTGTCCAGTAAACAGATGTCCAGAGCACTCCATCAGAACATAAACATGAACTCATGTGGCCCCTCAAGTCTTCCAAATAGGAAAGAAATTGGTAAATGTCATGGCTTTTTACCAGAGGTGTGGTGCTTTCTAGAACCACATGTTATCTTAGAATCAGACTAAAGCCTCCAGAAAAACCTCACAGCGCTGTGTAATGGAGATGGTTTTCTGCAGGAGAATGAAACCCAGCTTTTTCCCTAATGTGCCCACTCTTTTCCATCATTCACTGTGGGGGCGAGTGGAAGGGTCAAGGCCTTGCCAATTCCAGTTAGTCACCAGTTGTGAACCCCTATTGGAGTAGAATGGAGTCAACATCCTGGAGAAATACAGGGGAAACCGATGCCAGATAGGTAAAATAATTAAGTGTACAAATGTATTAGTAAGATAAAAAAAAAAAACCTGTGATGACAGAAAATCAGAACATTAAAAAGTTGGACAAACACAGAACATATCACTCCATGTTCTAGATACAAGTGTTTCTTGATTCATGTTGTATAGAGGGATCTCAAAACTCTCAGATAAGGATATGAAGCTAGAGAAGACCTGGCTGCTACCCAGAGCTCTGAAAGAGGAGGTCTCTCTCTTCCTGAGTTATTTGTGATGCCTTTGTCCTGCAGGAACAGAGACAGAGTTAGCCGACACAGCCTTGGATCTGATCCTGCTACTGTTAATGGAGCAGTGGAAATGGCTGTGTACTGAAAGCATGCACAAGTTCCTCCGCCTTATTTTTGGAACTCTAGTTCAAAGGTAAGATTGCTGAGCTCTCTGTCACATTAGAGCCCAATTTGCTAAGAAATTGGACATGAAACTCATTTCTGTATGAGGAAGTTAAAAAAAACCCATAGCCTCAGCAAAAGGTTAATTCCTTAATCTAGAGGTGTGGGGAGGAAGTCCCTCTCAGAAACCCTTTTGTAACCACCTTGTTTAAACTTTGAATGTATCTAATTCTCTAAGATTTCTGACATATATAGCACACTGAATTACAGACAATGCATGTGTTCTTAGAGTACTTAAACTCAGTCTGCTTATTCCAGTACAGCAGTTTAACACATTAGAGATTCCTCACTCAAGGTACCAAAATTCAGTCAATTTTTCTTTTTTTGGATGCGAAAGCAAAGAGTCTTTTATTGTAGTTGTTTAACGAGCTAACCCCTTAAGCTAGGGCCTTTCATCCATTCATGGCAGCAGAGGACTGGAGAAAAACTCCAAGAAATCACGAGGCAGGGATCTTATAGGGCAGCGTGAGAGGAGTGTCTAGGGGTATGAAACAGTCTCAGGATTGGTGCACTTACAGGCTTGGACGACCAGCCCTGTGTGGATTGGTCAACTGGTTGTTATGGGCCATAGGCCCTCCCAGGGCAGTAGCTATGCTCTGCACGTCACTGCCATGCACTTGTCCATAAAACACACCCAGAGCCATAAAGCACAGTCCCACCAGCTAACTTCTGATTGGTTCCTTGCCACAAGGAGGGCATCTGACCTAGGCCAGGAGCAGCAAGGTCATGCGAGCACATGTTAGGCTGTCATGGCTGCTGAAATGGGGGGTGGGGGTGGGGAGGCTGGTTCCTTCACAGGAAAATGGATAAATGATGGTAAATTCATACAGTGGAACACTTCAGAGCAGCAAAATAAATCCATCACCACTATATATTTTAACACAATTGAGAAACTTTATGATGAACTACAAAAGCAAGACAGGAGCACAAAGCTGTATGATTTCATTTATATATGAAAATAAATGCAGTCAATTTAAATACATTAATGATTACCTCAGTCACCATGTATGCACTAGTGTCACATTAAAAAAGAAATCAAAGCATTTCCCCTTGGAGTCATTTGACCAAGAGTGAGCCCAGACTTCAACTCTCCACTTCTCTCCTGTGTCACCTCTCTCTCTGCAGCTTATGTTTTCTTGCCTGTCTGTAATCTGTCTGTTGTATGAATATGAATTTTTGTCACTATGGCTGTCTGAATGTTGTATCCTTGTGTGTGTCCCTAACAAAAAACTTTGCTCTATATTTATTGGATAGCAACGAAACCTCACATGGGGAAGGAAGGAGGGTGCTTTACAGAGTTTTACAAGGAGTCAATCATGGACTCTGACTGACCTCAAATAACAAAAGTTATCAAGCAATACACATATGCTGCTTCCAGCATTTGCGGTAGATATTTGTTTTATAAGGTTGCTTTTAACCTATTTTCTGTTTTTGGCATTTATTACCATAACACACATACATACACGTGTTAACTTGTAGGTCAGAGCATGAAAAGAGTACTCAACATTAAGGCTATATATTACCTCAGGTTGTAAATCTTGATTATGTGGGAAATTCAAGACAAGTAAGGTTTCTTGTTACATTGTTCTATTAAATTCAAGTTAAAAGGAACAGACTGGGAACATACAGTCTTGTCTTATGTGACCTCAAAGTGTGTTCTTATTAACTCTGCTGCAAGGTCCAGCCAAAGTTCCAGTCTCCTAGAATGTGAGAAAGAGTTTCATCATAATGTAGCATTGTACCCTAGGATCAGTTCTCCATCCTTACTTTCCCAGGCCCTGTGTCTGTCTTTCACCTTTGTGCAGTGAGCATTTCTCTTAATAGTATGTACATCATGCTTGCAGGATGGTAAAACATAGAAACTTGGAAGCTTAGCTTTATCTGGGCTTTACAGGTGGCTTGAACAATTTATGATTAGACGGAGGTTTCTGTGGCTGATTTCTTACCCATTGTTATGTCCTTCCCCATTTTCTCATACTTGACATAGTAATAAACATTTTTCAGATACATTTTCTGTGGAACTTTTTATGGCACACTCTCTCACTTTCTCCTGAAATTAGGGGACCATCATCTCCACTCATCGTTTTTGACAGAGATACTTATGATAGTATATTATATAAATTCTCCACAGGGTTCTTTTGTTCTCGGGAGCATTAGCAGTACTGGGGGAGTTTTTGATGTCACAGTAGTGAAGGAGGGTGGGGCAGGCATCTGGTGGGTAGAGCTCATTGATGCTACTTTCCATCTATGTTACACAGATCACTCCCCACCATACTCCCGCCCCCACCCCTGTGCACACAAAGTGATGACTTACTCTTTCCAAATGCCTCCAGTGCTTCTTCACTGTTGGCTCAAGGGCCACAAGGACCTACACAGGTACTGTGCCCTGTAGAGCCTCTGTAAATATTGAACAGATAAACATTTTCCTTCTTCATGATTTTGCAGTTATAAGTCTAGTCCTGTTGTGTTTTCCTCTATCACATGTGAGTGTTGCTAACTGGGCTTTTATTTCTCTTCGCCCTTTACTGATCTTCCCTGTACTTCTCTAAGTAAGGGCTTTTGAGAGTGAAAAGACCCTCAACATTGTAATCTGAAATCTGGTATAATGAGTAAATGGCATCTGGTAGTATATGAGCACTGATGACCCTCTTCACTGAAGACATTTACATGATGAGCTGCTTTACAGAGAAGTATCAAGAGAAACTGGAAAGAAAGATTGAGATCTGTGACTTAGAAGTTGCAAGAGGTCAACCTTCAGTGGGAATAGCTCAGACTGTTAAAGGACTTGGGCCAATTCAGATGCAGAACAAAGAACTTTATCCAGAGAGCAGGAAGACCACTGAAGAACTGGTATGTCACGGGTGAGTTCAGTCCACATGAAGCACACCCCCAGGGATACATAAACAGAAAAAGCTGGCCTCAGTTCAGAATTCAAGCCAAGAGCAGTACCTCAGCAGGATTAAATGGGAGGCGAAAAGTAACGCTGTGCTAGTCTGAGCTGTCTTTTTTTTTTTTTTTTTTTTTTTTTTTTTCGAGACAGGGTTTCTCTGTATTGTTTTGGAGACTGTCCTGGAACTCGCTTTGTAGACCAGGCTGGCCTTGAACTCACAGAGATCTGCCTGCCTCTGCCTCCTGAGTGCTGGGATTAAAGGTGTGCGCCACCAACGCCCAGCTGAGCTGTCTCTTATCTCAACAGTGGAAACTTGTCTAAGCTGTCTTACAACACTGATGTAACTCTACCTTAAAGTGTTTGTCCTACTCTCTGACTGGGGATCTGTTTTCATCTTCTATCTTCAGTCATTTTTTAAAAAAAAATCACTAAATGCTGGGCAGTAGTGTAGAAAACAAACATTTCTGACTTTTTCGTATATTAAAATATAATGGGGTTAAGCACTGAAACTCAGACCTTGTCCTTAATTGAAAACTGAGTGAGTGGTGGAGCAGTATTCAGCCCAGCTGCTCCAAAGCCGGAGTTCCAATACCACAGACTGCTTTCCATGTTTTAGTCTCTGAACTTGGTTTCCTCATCTGGAAAATGGGATTAATAATGCTATTTTTACTTTATGTGTATTACAAACTCGCCAATAAATGTTAGGTCTTAATATTTATTCTTCAGGATAGGAAACAAGAACAAAGCTTTTGTTTCTAGTAACTCCTGCTAAAGGCTCCAAATTAGCTCTACTTTGAATTAAACATTCAAAGATCTTTAGCCCACGCCACTATCCTGTAGCTGGCTGCTATATCATCCATTTTGTGCCTGACTGAGCAACACAGGGTTGAGCTTGCAAACAGTGGAGGCTCCATGAGGCTTTGAAGGTAATTTATACCAGTGGGTTCTTTTGTTAAGACAACAATCAAGAAAGTTCCAGACTTACATCAGGACCAGAGGACCCATGCTCTGGTCCAAGACAGACAGACAAGTACAATGCCTATCACATTTTGCACATTTATGCTTCTGGTAGCATGGGCAGGGAGGGCTTCTGGAACCTATTCCTAATGAGAAGAGTGTAGGAGTCAAGCTAAGTACCCTCTCTTTCTATCCTTCCCTCGGATACTTCCCTCAGACCCAGCTAGCCTGCCAACAACTGTCTGGTGAGTGAAGAGCAGCAGAGCCCGTGTGGACTCCATCTGGAATGGGAATCAAACAGGATATACTTCCAAGTGCCCTGATTCATTTGCTTTTCCCTTTTCATTCTCTGGGATTTTGTTGTTTGCTTATGCTTTGTTTTATGAAGAAAAAATGCTATTTGGAAAAGCAGGAACACTGGAGTGCGTTTGATGACTGTAAGGCCTAGACAGAATTTAGTGGCTACCATGGAAACCTCTTAACTCTGGTCAGTACTTTTCATCCAGGCATTACCAGGTTTTGTTGTTGTTGTTGTTCTTCAGATACCTCCTGCCCAAAAGGTCTTATTTCCATTTCCTCATTTTCTCCTTGGCCACCTTGCTTTCTGTTCGTGCAAGGTTTAGAACAGCAGTGGTTGACACCCCACCCCCCTTCCACAGGCTGAACTTAAATGAAGACCATCTCCTTCCCTGTTCAAGACTTCTCTTTCCATACAAATCATTCCCCATCTTTTTATAGTGTTTTTGATTTGTTTCTCAGAATCCATTCTAGTTTTATAATGTTCTAGATTCTTTCTTAATAGGAGGAAGGTGGCAGGGGTCATGGTCTTTGAAGAATGGAACATTTCCCTCAACCCAAAAGCTTCCAAGGACCTGACACCTATGGCCCATAGTCTTCCATCAGCAAGTCCCCACATGTGTGGTAATATCCAGAGTATTGTAATAGATAATCTTACTGGCTTAAGTGTATTTACTATGCAGCAAATGTCTATTGAGAGATTAATTCACTCAGACATTATATGGGACACTGAGGCTATTTTATAGTGTAATCCCTTTAAAGAGCTCTGTGAAAGAGGTATTATGATCCCCACTTCTAATATGAGAAATCTATGGTTTGTAAGGAAT